ACCCCAATACCCCATGGGTCCCACTGGGGCTGGGGTGGACCAGTACCCTCCCCACCCCCACCCACCCCCCTGCTGGGAGCCATCTCAGCAAACACTCAGCCCATTAGGGCAGACACCTGGGGCAAGAAGCAAGGGCTCACCCAAGACAGGCCTCCACTGGCCTTGTCAATGGCCTGGCAAGAGGAGGAGGACACTCATCCCAGCCAGTGGCTCTTAGCTTAAACACTGGCAGAGGATCTAGTTTGTACATGAAGGCTGCCCAAGTCTTAGGTGTCTGAAAGACCCCAGGTGGTCCCGTGTGACCTGCTGCTGCTCCCAGCAGTCTGGGCCCCCTTCAGGGGCTTCTGACCAGACCCAGCATAGCTGCCCCTCCTTCTAGCCTTGGCTCCAGCCCCCTTCACAGGGAGGCCTGCCCACCTGAGCTCCCACCTGGCCTGCAGCCTCATGCTGGCCACACCTGCCTGAAGTCCCTTACCCTGTACCTCTTCTTTCCATAGCATTATCACCACTTACTAGCCCATGTAAATTAGCTGCTTATTACCCATATTATTATCTGTTCCCCTGTTCCAGAATGTCATCTCCCCATGGGTGTGTTTGGTACTGGGACAGAACCCAGGGGTGCTTAACCACTCAACAACATCCCCAGCCCCTTTTAGTTTTTATTTATTTAGAGACAGGTCTCACTGAGTTGCCTAGTACCTTGCCATTGCTGAGGCTGGCTTTGAACTTGTGATCCTCCTGCCTCAGCCTCCTGAGCCACTGGAATCACAGGCATGGGCCACCACACCTGGCCCTCGGGCAGTTTTGTTCACTACAGCAGCCCAGAGCCCAGCACTGAGTCTGGCACACAGCTTGCTTAGGAGTACTTCTTAGGGAAATGAGTGAATAGATAGAGGTCAGGACCGCAGCTAACTTTTCCCTGCGAAATGCAGACTTTTATGCCCTTTGATCTCAGCTACTAGAAGCCCATTTTCCAAACTGGAAGACATGACTTGACAAAAGAGGCTGGCTGTGTTGGGAGACGTAGCCGGGGGTAAGTAACAAACTCCTGCTTTCCTCCCAAGCCTGCTCGGCTGAGTCTGGCCTGGCTGGGTGAAAGGTGTCTCCCTCCTGCCGCCAGAGCCCTCTGGTGCCTCCCCTCCTCTCACACTCTGCAGCCTGCCCTTGGAAAGCGCACCTCGCATCTGGCAACCCACTGCCCATGCTGCCATGCCCCAGGCCACGGCCACACAGGACGACTGCAGGAATAGACCCCCTGCCCCAAACAGAGTCCAGGTCTACAGGCAGCCAGAGGAAGTTTTAAAGAATTTACACATCACATGTTCTCTCCTCTGTTCAACCCCCCCCAGTGGCTCTCCACTGTGGCACAGAAGTCAAAACCCCCAAGGTGGATGGTTTCTGGCTGGGGGAGCCTTCGCTTACCTGACTGACCTCGCTCCTGCTGGTCCACCCTGAGCCCTCTGCTTCAGCAGCACTGGCCTCCTTGTTTTTCCTCCAATCCAAGAGGCCCTGGCGGGCTCCAGGGCCTTTGCACTTGCAGCCCTGCTGCCTAGAGTGCTCTTCCCAGAGGCCACCTGCCTCCTTCAGTCCACGTGCAAAGGTCCCTTCCCTGGTTCACCCTGAACATGAGCATACTCCCAGCACCTCCTCTCCCTACCTCTCTGCCTTTTCCTCCCCAGTGCTCCTCACCATCTGGTACTCCCCAGGACCTGCCTTCCTGGTGCCTGTGTCTGCCAGGCCCCAGACTGTGAGTGTCATAAGGGAGGGACTAAACTCTGTTCTGCTCTATCTTCCATACCCAGATCATTGCCTGGAGCACATGGGGGCATGAGGCTGAAACACTGCTATTTCTGGAACATTCCCAGTATTCAACAGAGGAACAGAGTTACTGTATAGACCCTGGGACTCTCCTGGCAAATGCAAACCTTAGGCTTGTGGCATCCCAAGCACCTACAGAAGTCCTGTCCCTAAAGGTCAGTTCCAAGCACCCATCTTGCTCCTGGGGCCTGACAGTCCAGTTTGAGGAACCAAGCAGCTTGGACACGGTGGACTCCTGCTGCCCAGTGGTGCTCTGGGAACGGCTTGGCCCACCCCTAAGCACAGGCCTCTGCTACAAGGAGTCAGAGTCTGTTCTCAACCCACAGTCCCTTCACAAACAGCAGTGCATTCTGAGGGGCAGGGGCGACAGGCCCTTGAGTCCCCTCTGTGACCCAGGAAGAAAGCTCCAGACCAGCTGGACATCTTCAGCATGAAGTCCCAGGCACAGTCCAGGCTTCTGAGATCTGGGGCGGGGGCTGGAACTCAAACTCCAGCCCCACTGCTGCCTTCTATGACCTTCGGGAGGCTCCCTGCCACCTTGCTCCATCTGAGAGTAACAGTCCTTGTGGTCCAGGCTGCTACACACAGCAGCCACTGAGCACGCACTCAGCACAGATTGAGGGCTGCCACTCTGGTGGTGGCTGTTATTTGGGGTGGGGTGTGATAGCTGGTTATGATGAAGGGGTCAGTGCCTAACCAAGTCCGTGTGCAGGAGACAGCTGGGCTGGCCTGGCCTGTGGAGAGGGCTGAGAACAGGCACCACTGGGCAGGCTGTGGAGTAGGTGTGCAAGGGCCACGTGGGGTTGATATGGGCAGTCATGGGGACGAGGTGGCCCTGGGAAGGCATGTTTCAGGAAGATCTGACAGGCCAGACTGGAAAGTAGGGCACTTGGCAGCCCAGAGACCTGGAAGAAGGCTACGGAGTGCCAGGGCTTGCAGTGGAGAGACAGGAAGTGCACCAGGCAGGTCACAGGCAGGCCCCTGCTGGCCGTCCCTCTTCCCTGGAGCTGCCCTGGATCCCCGCTCCCTCTCCTCTGTGGTACACGCACAGACTCATCCTTCAAGACCTGGCTCAGGCACCTCCTCAGAAGCCGCCTCACTGTCCTCGGGCAGAGTTAGTCACCATAGCCGCAGCCGGCTTGCTCACCCTGTCTTCTGAGGTCGTCTGGGTGCTGTCTCCCCAGAGCCTGTTGGCACCTGGTGCCTGGGGCAGAGCCTGGGACAGGGGCTGCTCAGCGAGTGTCTACAGAGCAGAGGAGCACATAGCCTGGTCCAGGCAGGTGGGCACCAGGAGAGGCCCTGGAGCTGGAAGCACAGTCAGGCTGCACCTGGGTCTGTCTCCGACAGGCCTGGAGACCTGGGCCCTTAGCAAATGCAGAGCTCTCCAGGGCCAGCTTTCTCTGGGGGAGGCAGGGCTCCAGGTTAGGTTCTTGTCACTTGCCTCCCTTCCCTGTAGCTCCCCTTATCTCCCCATAAATCTCTGCCCAATACAAGCTGGGTATGGTTGCGCACCCTCTAATCCCAGTGGCTCAGGAGGCTGGGGCAAGAGGATTGAGTTGGAAGCCAGCCTCAGCAAGGCCCTAAGCAATTTAGTGAGACCCTGTCTCCAAATAAAAAATAAAGGGCTGGGGATGTGGCCCAAGCGGTACCTCGCTCTGCAGCCTGCCCTGGCATGCGTGCGTCCCGGGTTCAATCCTTAGCACCACATACAAAAAACAAAGATGTTGTGTCCGCCAAAAACTAAAAAATAAATATTAAAAATTTCTCTCTCTCTCTCTTTAAAAATAAATAAATAAATAAATAGGGCTGGGGATGTGGCTCAGTGGTTAAGTGCCCCTGGGATCAAAAAAAGTTAAGCTGGGTGCAGTGGCACAGGCCTGCAATCTCAACTACTTGAGAGGCTGAGGCAGGAGGATAGCTTGGACAACTTACCAAGACCCTTAGTAATTTAGCAAGATCTTGACTCAAAATAAAAAAATAGAAAGGGCTTGGAATGTAGCTCAATGGTAAAGTACTCCTGGGTTCAATTCCTACCACACACAAAGAAGAGAGTTAAAAGTGTGGTGTGGGGGGCTGGGGATGTGGCTCAAGCGGTAGCGCGCTCGCCTGGCATGCGTGTGGCCCAGGCTCGATCCTCAGCACCACATACAAACAAAGATGTTGTGTCCGCCAAAAACTAAAAAAAATTCACTCATTCTCTCTCTCTTTCTTTCTCTCTCTTAAAAAAAAAAAAAATGTGATAGAGAGCAGGTGCCGTGGCACATGCCTGTAACCCCAGCAGCTTGGGAGGCTGAGACAGGAGGATCACAAGTTCAAAGCCAGCTTCAGCAAAATCGAGGAGCTAAGCAACTCAGTGAAACCCTGTCTCTAAAGAAAATACAAAATAGGGCTGGGGGTTTGGCTCAGTGTTCAAGTGCCCGAGTTCAATCTCTGGTACCAAAGATAAATTAAAAAAAAAAAAATACACTCCACCCAGCTTAATCCTTGCACCCAGCATATGGTAGGCAGGCAAACAAGAATTTTTTTTTTTTTCCCCTAAGAGGTGACAGAATCTTGCCACGTTGCCCAGGCTGGCCTCAAACTTCTGAGCTCGGCCCGAGTAGCTGGGACTTAGGTCTGTGGGGCAGCATCCTCGCAGAGCCGGGTGAGCCCGAGGCCTTGCTCAGGCTGGGCAAGTGCTCTACGCTCAGCTGCACACCCAGCCCCCAGCAATTGCTGACTGAAAGAACTTGGGTAAGGCATTCTAACCCAGCCCAGCTCTTAGGCAGAGGCTGGGGCACCAGCCAGGACTCAGGAGTGGGCAGACCTTGGGGAGGGTCGGCCACCCCAGGCCTTCCTGTCCTGGCTAGGCAGACTCGAGTTATAGCCGGGGCCTGGAATGTTCCCCCAGATCTTTCGTGCTGAAGGCTTGGTCCCCAGTGCAGCATGTTCTGAGGCGGGGCTTTTTTTGGGGAAGTGACTAAATAATAAGGGTTCTGATCTCAACAGTGGGTTCATCCCTGGAAAGATTCGTATCTGGTGGTATTACTGGTGGGGCTAACTGGAGGAAGTAGGTCACTGGGGGTGTGCCCTGGAAAGGGGTGTCTTGACCCTGGTCCCTTTCCCTTTCTCTCTTTGTTCTCAGCACCATGAGTTGACAGCTTTCCTCCACCTGCCCTTCCACCATGATGTTCTGTCTCACCTCAGGGCCAAAGTAATGGAACTGGCCGAACACGAACTGAACCCTCTGAAACCATGGGCCAAAATAAACGCCTCCTCCTCCAAGTTGTTCGCACAGTGCCTTTTGGTCACTGCAGCGGAAAGCTGACTAACACAGACTCACCTGCATCTTCTCTTGCCAGAGAGGGAGTTCCTCTTGGCCGAGCATCCTGGCGATGACCACAAGGCTCAGCTGGCTTCGAAGCTGCCTGAGAGAAGAGAATCGGAGAACCTGAGGAGGATGGCAATCTAAACGGGGGTGGCCTGGAAGTTGGGGCGCCCATGTAAAGGGCAGGACAGCCATGGAGAGGGGACTGTTTTTCTCCTGAGTCGCTAAATTGCTGAGGCTGTCTTTGAACTTGCGATTCTCCTGCCTCAGCCTCCGGAGCTGCTGGGATGACAGGCATGCGCCATGGTGTCTGGCAAGTCTGTGGGTTTTTTCACAGTGTTCAGGGACTCTTCCTTTGGAACCCGTGATCTGTTCTGGTTCCCACCCTGGTTCCCAGGGTGGCCTTGGGAGTGCCCCACCCCTGGAGTGTCAGCGGAGCCTGTGCTTCCCAGAGAGCAGCTAAGGTGGCAAGAGGTGACCTGCAACTGCCAGTGCCATCGTGTGTGTCCTGGTGGACAGCCTAAATAAGCAGCCAGAGGGAGGCCAGCAGAGACAGGAGCATGAGGCAGAGCCCTGAAGGCCCAGAGCCAATGGTGCCTGGGGCCACCAGCCCTGGAGCATTTGGTCTGCGAGCCCACTGTGAGCAGAACAGTCCCTGGGCTGCAGTCAGCCACAGCAGTGAGGAGCCTTCCGCCAGGACGGAGCCAACAGCGGCCCCTCCTGAGGAGTGGACACCCCATCCCCGCCCCATCAGGCCTTCACACGCTGACATTTGGACCTCTGATTTCCATGGGTCCCTGAGCTCCAGGGAAGAAGAGTGGAGGGACGTGGAGAGCAGAGGATGGGCCAGAGTGGCGATGGGTTGAAAAGGGATGAGGTGACGCAGGGCTGAGGGCCCCCAGACAAGGGTTTGGGGTGAGCCCTTCTCCCACACGAACTCCTAAGGCCATGATGCTTTGTGCCTTGTCACCAGTCCATCCTACCACGAGGCTATGACCTTCAACATCCCTCCATGTGTCCCCAGGGGCTGCAGCCGTTAGCTATTGAAATGGATTTTTTTTGATGCTGTGGATCAAACCCAAGGCCTCATGCATGCTGGGCCACGGTCCTACCATAGTCCCCAGTTCCTGAGGAAAGCCACCACCATCAAATGAAAGGTCTAAAAGATGAAACGTGACAGAAAAGTGCGCAAACTAGTACTGATTTCTTAGGGGACAAATACCCTCAGGTAACAACACTGTTGGAGGGACCCCACCCACTGGCGTCCTCAGCCACACTGCAGAATGACATCATGAAGAAACCAAGGACAAACGTGGGCTACAGCGAGGCGAGGGAGGTACCTGGAGGCGGTGGTTCCCTAAGGAAGGACTTTGCGAGCCAGAAATAAACCTGGCCACTCTCTGACCAGCACTGAAGACTCCAGAGCGACTCCCCAGAGCCACTGCTGTCCCTGGTGGTGGGGACAGAGGCAGAATCAGTGTCCTCAAAGCTCCCTTGAGGCTGGGCAGCTGGGGACCAGTGACCCTAACGTGGGGTCTGAAAGTCAAGGGGACGGTGTTGACTTTTTAGGAAATAGTCAGGAAAGCCAGAAAGATCAACAAAGCAGAGGCTCTGGGTTAGGAGAGAGAGAAAGCAGCGGGCGGTTCCGCTCCATGGCAGGGGGCTGTGGAGACAGGAGGCCCTGCTGGTGGGGTGCTGGTGGGGTGCAGGCGCCACTAGGAGAGCCATCTGGAGATTTACCAGAGACACTCGCCCGCTCCCCGAGTGATCCTGCTCCTAGGTACGTAGTACCAAAACGGAGGTACTGGAATGTTCCCAGCTGCAGAAGCACCCTGGGTAAATCTCTAGGAGTCACGGTTATGAAGGAACTGTGACGACCTCCAGCAACACGGGCCACCTTCACAGCCCACACCTAAGAACAGAAGTGTACGAACTGGTTCAGGTCGAGACCTAGATGGGCAGATTCCAGCAGCTGCGCAGGTTTGGGTCCTGGGCCTTTCTTGAGCAGGGTGCTGGTGTCACGTCACGCGTGTGACCCACGGTCACGACGCCTCCTGGTCTGTGCTCTGTGCTTCAATAAAACCCTAAAGTAGAAGACATGCACCTGGGAGGGGAGCCAGGCTCCCAGAGTCAGCAAATCAAAATACAGGCTGCCTGTTAAACCTGGACCTCAGACAAGTGAAGGGGGACAGTTTGTAGCATGCCTGTCCCCAGTGACACCTGCACTGCATCTGACAACCGTGACGACCTGACAGTGATCACTTTGGGGCCTGACCCGCCTGGGCTGAGCCGTGGTGTGCCCCAAAGAGCCCCCAGCTCCACTCCCTGCAGGCCCCCCCCCGCCCCCCACCCTCGCGGCCTCCTCCATCAGCCAGAACCTGCCTTCCAGCTGTTCCCGGGAGCCGGCAGCAGCTGGGCTGGGAGCACGGTGGGAGGTAAATGGCCCCTCCGTGCTGCTGCTGCCGCTCTGCCAGGAGTCCTGCATCTGGGCTTCATTAATCCCCAGCCCAGGCCTGAGCAGAGCTCCGTCACCCGCTGCGGGCAGGGAGGGGCCTTTGGGGGGAGGCGAGCTGGCAGGCAGCACAGCAGTGCTGGGGGTGGTGCCAGAAGGGAAGAGGCGGCCGGGTGGGTCAGGCCAGGACTGCGATCCAGAAACTGCACCAAGGGGGGTGAGTGGGTGCCAAGGAGCTGCACCAGAGCGCACCAGCTGCCCCCGCCAGCACCTGCCCACCGCCTGTCCTCCTGACCACCCGCCCAGCTTCTCCACACTGTCCCATACCCTCAGTTCTCACCCAGAGCTGTGGGGAGAAGGCAGGGAGCCACTTAAGCTTACTCAGAGGAGGGAAAGAAGGGGCTCACTACCAGCCCACCGGAGCAGGGGCAAGCAGAGGGCTGGCTGAGGGATCTTCCTCCCCCAGAAACAGCCCCACCCCACCTGGCAAAACTCCCCAGAACTCACACCAGGAGGGCAAAGGCGGCACCAGCCGCTGTCACCCTCCTAGCACTGTCCTACAAGGCAAAGCACCCCGCCTGCAGGCTCAGGCCAGGCCTCCAGCCTCTGTCCTCAGGGCTTCCCAAAGACCAGGACACTGGACTAGCACTCAGAGGAGCCTAAGGTTCCAGGAAACTTGGAAACAGCTTTTCTTAGCTCAGAGCAGAGATGATGCAGGCACTCTGTCCAGTCTAGTGCTGTCCCTGCACTTCCCACAAGGGACACTGGGCTGGGCTCCCTGCAGGAGCACGCAGGAAGGCAAAGGCAAAGGCATTGACCCATGTGACACTGACTGGAATGTCAGGTAAAGGATGGGTACAGCTCCTGGTGTCCCTGCCCCAAAGTCCCTCTCCCAGGGGAGCCAGGCCCTGCCAAGACTGAACTGCCCTAAGAGACCAGAGGGGTGCAGCCAAAAGCGAGGGTGCCTTTTCAGTGCGTCTCTAGGGCAGTTCAGGAAGCAGCAGCAGACATGCTGCCCAAAGCCTGGCCTCAGGGTGACTACTAGACCTGCATTTCTACGCTGTCCTTGCTGCTTCTCGTCCCTCGTGGACACTGCCATGCCACCATTCCTTGTCCCTCATTTGGAATCTTCTATCTTGCATATTAGCTTGTGCTGCCCTGGCAGGAAGGACCAGGGCTCGGACACACAGGTTGGTGTGACCTTGACCTCCCCAGTGGTCTGTGCTCCCATCCGCTGCATACCTACAAGTCCAGGGCCACCACAGAGTTCAGTCACCCACTTGAGTGGCACTGTCATAGTACAGACAGCAGGACACGAGGGATAGAGTCGGCCACCAACCCAGGCAGGGGATCGATCCATCATCTATCTATAGAACCACTCACAGGAACCCAGGGCTGTCCCAAATGCCACCTGAGATGAGGTCACCAGACACAAGACCCGGTGCTGCCTAGCTCCACAGGGAGGAGAGTTTAGGAACAGGCCCCACGCGTCTGCCTAGTGCAAGAGCACAGGAAAGTGGCTTCCTGTGCAAGGGTGCCCAGAGGGCCGAGGGGGCTTCTGGAGAGGGGGGATATTTTGTCCTGTGGCTGAGTGGCAGCACACAGGTGGCCTTTGCCAGTACACTGATTATCTACCTGTGGGAACTTTCCTTCATGCATATTATAAGTAGACAAAGGACACCTGTGGTCAAGGGCACCCAACCCCCTCCTCGGTCTTGTGGTAAAGACACAGAAACTCAGGCTCGGGCATCCCCAAGGCCCCCGGTCCTGCCTGCAGAGCTGTCCACTTCACCCTCTTTGCCGAACCCCCACCAAGTGCTCGTCTCAGCAAAAGACCTCTCCCATCTGCCGAGAGCCCTGTCCATTTTTGGACTCCACAAAGAAAACTGTTCTCACGTTTTATTTACAAAGATTGTCCTTGTGGGCTTCTCCCCTGAGCTTCTGGGTCCGGAGCCCTGGGACTGCCAGGCTGGGCCTCCACATCTACAACAGCCCTTGCTGTGCTCTGAGGCCACCCCCTGCCAGGCGCAAGAGCCTGTCTTTCCCTCTTCTGGCCTTTTTCCTCTGTATCCTCCGATGGCCCTGAGGTTGGTGTCCCGCTTAACTGAGCCACTCTGCCGGAGGCCGGAGGCTGGAGCTCGTTTTCTTGGCAGCCCTTCGAGGAGAAGCTGTGGATAGCTCGAGACCGTCTTTTTTCACACCTCTTGCTGTCCAACCCATTCCCCAGATCCTGTTCCTAACTGTGCAGGGCTCTCCTCCTGACTCGGCCCATCATCATGGTGGGCTGAGACCTCTGGGACCTCCCCCTCGCTGTCCGTTATAGTCCTGCTGTCTGTGAACCTGACCAGTGTTCCACTAATGGCCTAATCCAAGACCCTGGTTCTGTCCTGGCTGACCCATCAGTGAAGGTGGGCCTCAGGGTGGCCACAGGGCCTGCCCAGCAGGTGAACTCTGATAATTCACCTACTTCTACCAACTTTCAGACCACATTTCCGATAATGTTCCCCGGGATTGGATTATAGTCTCATTAAACACCCGAGGTCACCCAGACACGCGCACTCCACTGTCCCTCCAGACCGTGGTTCTAGCTAACCTGTAAAAAACAAACGAGGCTTTCTAGTAAGATTTATTCGTAGGACTCCTAGAAA